CACCATCACCATCGCCATAGTGATCATCACCATCATCATCATTATCGTGATCATTGCCATCATCACCATCACCATCGCCATAGTGATCATCACCACCATCATCATTATCGTGATCATTGCCATCATCACCACCCTGATCAACTACACCTACCAAACAAGGGTTTTCCTGACAGTAATCAATATCTGTTCGACAGTGTCTTCCAGTGTAGCCTTGTTTACACAAACAGGTGTAAGACCCCACCGTGTCTTGACAAGTCCCTCCATTATAACAGTTGCGGCAATCAGGGGACACTGGACACTGGCCATCAGAAGTACAGTCTAAAGACACGAAAAGAAAAAATTAACAGGCCATTAACATGATGGCGTCATTTTACTACTACTACCAGAATGCTTTGCGAATTGTCTTTTTTATTCCAAATTTTATTCCCTCATAAGAAAATAATATGATAATTGGTGCTTGTGGACTGAACAAGAGTAAGGTTGCAAGGGATTCTTGTAGTGGTAGAACATGACCAAAACAATACAAACATTCTATTGCATTCTTTAATAATGAAGTAAAACTTACCCAAAATATTGACAGTAAAGTTCTTGCCTATGATGTGCAGAGGACGAGCCAAGTCATGGCAGCTTATTCTGATTTCAACAGCTCCCTTTGAGGACAAGAAGTCTTGATAGTCAAATTCCATCTTTGAACGCAGCAAGTATCGCTCATCCATATAAAACATGTTAGTAACATTGTTACCAGCAATAATAGAGTTCTCGCTAGGATTATTCACCCTGCATTGGTAGTTAAATGTATTAGCTGCAATTTGATTGACTTGCGAGCAACAACTTGTTTTACTGCAGGAATGTTTAGGTGGGTTAGAGTCCTCGATCAAAAGTTGTCCAGCTATTGTTTGCGTAGGCTTATTTTCACCGATGGAAGATTGTACGAGGCACATTGGGACTTGTGGTCCATCATCTACAATGACAAAGACATAACGATAATGAATAAGCTTACTAGTGATGTGGACATATATTAGACTTGTAGTGTTCCTACTACCATGATTATCACGACAAAAGATACATAGTATGACAAATAAGCTTACTAATGATGTGGACATATATTAGACTTGTAGTGTTCCTACTATCATGATTATCACGACAAAAGATACATAGTATGACAAATAAGCTTACTAGTGATGTGGACATATAGGCCATTCTTCTTCGTCCCACTCACTGCACCAACAGTCTCTATTTCAATGTATGAGAACAAATCTTTCCTGTTTCCAAAATCTCTGTAATTTGTTACGATTTTCTTTTTGACCTTCAGTTTATTGTCCTCAACGACAAAAGGAAGGATATCATTATTGAGAAGCCTGTAGGTTAATGGTTCGGCAAGCTTTGATGTCAGTGAGCCAATCACTGTCCCAACAGATGCCATTACTGAGACTGTATTGGGATTCAAGTTTACTATGGATGAGGATATGGATTCTGTGAAAGAAGAAAATTAGGGAATGATTAAAGGAGGCACTCAGGCTTTACTGGGAAATACACATGCACTCTTTAGACTTCACCACCACCATCATCATCATCATTACCACCATCATTATCACCACCACCACCTTTATCATCATCATCATCATCATTACAAATGGTCCCATCATCACCATTGCCATTATCACCACAGCCACATGATCTTTATCATTAACATAGTCATGATCATCACCAGCACAGCACAATCATCATCATCACCCCAATCACCATTATCATCATCATTATCATCATTATCTTCACCATCATCATCATCATCATCATCACCACTACCATCATCATCATTAGCATCATCATCATCATTAGCATCATCATCATCATTATCACCATCATCTTCACCACCATCATCATCACTATAATCATCATCATTAGCATCATCATCATTAGCATCATCATCATCATTAGCATCATCATTAGCATCATCATCCCTATCATCATCATCATCATTAGCATCACCAATACAGTTATTACTTACTTGATGCAATAATATGACAAGTGAAGACCTTGGAGAGAGACCTTTCCGTGGCATACGTGTAACCATTAGATGAATACCCATTAACAACCCGACCATCATCAGTAACCTTGATGTCAATGGTATAATTCTGGGGTTCTGAAATATTCTATGAAAATAGATACACAACATGAATTCATTTTTCTTAAAGTTTAAAGTGAAGAAGAAACAAACTCTTCAAATGCTTCTTCTCTCATCAGATAAGCTATGCAGAACAGATTTTCTAAACAAGATTTCATGAAAAAGATGTTCACTTCACATGCGATAGACCTCTTTGGCTTGGGGTAATGTTTTCCCATTTCAGACCACGTGTCATTCCCTTATGCTGTATCCATATTCATGTGTCTTCTCATGTGCAACCGAGAGCAAAACTTAAACAAGAAATGATACTCTAGGGAATGACACATGGTCTGAAATGAGAAAACATTACCTCAGAGCCGAAGAGGTCTATTTATCACTACATTGACACACATTACTCAACTCACATGTTGATTTTTATAGAGAGAGGAAAACCAGAGATCCAGGAGAAAACCCTCTGGACAAGTGAATCTACAGCCCTCTCCTCATTCTTAATCCTGCTTATTTATGATACAAAGTAAGTCTTTACCTTATATTTAAATAGTCTATTGTCCCTTAGTCTAAATGGAGCATCTGAGATCACATTAGTGGAGTAAAGCAAAGACTGCTTGTTAGATACACTGCCTTCATTGTCAGGATCAACAGCCTGCAGTATTACTATGACGGCACCATTGGAATCATCTATTGACATGTGGAAGGGTGACGGACAGAGACTTGATGGCTCTTCATTAATATCTGGCAGAGATGAACACAAGATGTAATCAGTCATCATCAAAATCTTCAAGTATAGTCATCATCGTCAATGTACAGTACCTTCCAGGTAACACCACAATGTCACCACCCACCAACATGCATTTACTACATCACCATCCTTGATGGCATCATTATCATCATCACTATCATCATGCAACATCATTACTTCTTCACCACTACCATCATCACTATCATCATACACCATGCATCATGTATCATCACCAACATCACTACCATCATCACCATGGTCATCATCATCATCACCATCATTACCATCACTACCATGTACTTACCATGGACGACAATCCTAAAGGACTGTTCCTTTGACATTGCCTTCATTGGAGCTGTTACTATGTCAATGCAGTTGATGACAATTTCATGGACATGCTTTGCCTCAAAATTCAAAGCTTTCTTTGTTTTCAATTCCAGTGCTGCATTGATCATAAAATACTGACTTGAATTACAAGAACCTCCAGGAATGACATCACATACAGTGCAGACATGTGATTGGCTAATATCAGGGTCAATAACAGTAATGACCCCAATCATGGCATTGGCTTGGTTTTCATGTACTGTGAGGTTAGATACTTTGATGTCTGTAATTGGCTCATTCATGTCTAGTATCTTGATCTTGAATGATCTTGATATAAATGCATTGTGTCCATCAGAGCAATTCAGTTTTATTTGTACTTTTTTGTCTGCTAAGCTTTCATAGTCTGTCATTGTTGGTCCAACTACAAGGTGTTTTCCAGCCAGGATTGCTACTCTTGCACTAGCGTCATTAACAAGGGTACATGTTGGGGTGTCTTTATCTTGGTCAACAAGTTTTATTTCACTGATCATGACATTTTCTCCACTGTTTTCTTTGAAAGCCAATTGACCTCCGATTCCAGGAAGACTGATATCTGTAGGAGGGTCATTCATGTCTGGCATGATGAAGGTACACAGAAAAACATTAGGTAAGTGAACAAAACAATGACTATCAGGTTCAATTTGAGTGGTGTTTCAAGAACCAAGTGTGGATTGGTTGGTAAGGAAGGTAAGGGTATAGCAAGGTCTCCGTCATAAGGGGGTAACGTACCATTTTCACTGCCATATCCACAGGTTTAGTAAAACATTTTTGGGGCGCCAATCACCCCCTTGCTCTACCCCCCCCCCCCTGCTATGCCACTGAGCTAAGAAGTCCATACTTTGATCCTTTGTGACCTCACATATTATTATTGTATTATTATTGTTTTATTATCATTATCATTATTACCTTCATTTATTTAAACTTTCAGTATGCGTAATACAAGAATAAAGGGCAACTTTTATAGTTCTAGGCTACATCCTTAGTGTGTCACTAACAAATGTCTATTCAAAGGTGTAGATTTGTCTTAACTATATCATAATTATTATTATTGTTATTATTATTATTATCCACATACATAACTGTTTTCCAATTAATTACAAAGTCATGTATTAAGCATTTTAATTGCAACTGAGTACATCGATCTTACCTATCAATTTAATTTTAAGATTCTCTTCCTTGAACAGTCCTCCACTATCAGTTACCCTCACATCTAGATCAAGAGTAGGGGTCCTCTCATAATCTAATGAACCATTCACGATAACTGAAGTATGGTTTGGACCACCTATAATGAATGGTGTACTGTCTGGGCCCATTATACTGTAGGTGTAGGACTGGTAGGCTTGTTCTGGATCTGTACATGAAAGAGTCCCTACTATTGTACCAATGGGCGAGTTCTCAGGGACAGTGAGGTTTGATAAAGCAAGAGATGTAGGCAGTTCATTTATATCTAGGGATGTAAATCATCATTACCATTATTGTTATCATCATCACCATCACCATGGTCATCTTACATCACAATCATCATCACCATTGCCACCACCGTCATCATACAGTATGATCACCACTATCAAGTTAATAACACCCCAATCATTATATTCACCATCATCATCATCATCATTACTACCACCATCATCTGATCACCACAACCAGATTACACCATCATCATCATCACGGTCATCAACACCCAAAATCATCATTACCACCATCATCTGATCACCAAAACCTGAGTACACCATCATGATCATCACCATCATGACTGCCATCATCATCTGATCACCACAACCTGATTACACCATCATCATCATCATTGTCATCAACATCATGACTGCCATCATCATCATCATCATCATTATACAGTAGTCATCAACATTATCATCATTATCAATATCCTCACAATATCATTATAATCATACATGGCTCACCTTTAACAGTTATATAAAACATCCTCACTATAGACATGCTTGGATTGCCATTGTCCGTACACCTTACTGTGATAGACAACTCTTCATTGGTCTCGTAGTCAATAACATGAGTCCCACCCTTCACTTTCAAGACTGTACTTGATCCAATCATGAAATAATTATTGCCTCCTGATTGGCTGTTCTCCAGGCTGCAGGTGTGTGTTTGGGTGATGCTGTTCAGGTTGTCTGGATCAATGACCTATGATAATAATAATTATTGATAATGATTAATAAGATCATCAGCATCATTGAAGAACACTTACAACAACATTCCAACAACACCATCAACCACAATAACATTATTGTACCCACAATAGACCTCTTCGGCTCTGACATAATGTTTTCCCATTTCAGACCACATGTCATTCCCAAGAGTATCATTTCTTTGTTTAACGTTTGCTCTCGGTTGCACATGAGAAGACACATGAATATGGATACCGCTCAAACAAAGAATCTTATTCTCAAAGGAATGACATGTGGTCTGAAATGGGACAACATTACCCCAAGCCGAAGAGGTTTATTTTACAAACAACTTCATCATCTTGACATGAAATAACATTTTCATCAGCATCATCAACAACATTACCATCAAAAACATCGGTATCAGCAACATCACCTTAGTCAACAACATTATCAGCGACACCATTTTCAACAGCAAATACCAGCATCAATACCACCATGAATGTTGTCAACTACATCATGGACATCAATAATCATTGTCAACAATGCTCATCCTTTATACTAGCCTGCATTAAAAAATCAACATACAACCATCAGCATCATCATCAACAACATTACCAAGGTGCCAATAATTTAAGAATTAAAGAATGATATATTTACCACAAAATCCCCCACAATCACACCAGTGGGTGAGTTTTCATCAACAGTATGTGGGCCACTAAGATTCAAACTTGCTGGTTCCTCATTGACGTTGATGACGGACAAGGTCCATTCCTGTAAAACCTGTCCTGACTTGTCATTGGCCTGTACAACAAGTTGATATGATTTCTGTTTTTCATAGTCTAGATCACCTTTGACTTCAACTGCTGTCTGGTAGGTTGTTGCTCTTCCAACCTTTGAGTGACTAGTTGAACCTAGTGTGAATTTGCTTAATGTGATGGCATCTGATTGAGAGATGTTAAAAGTAACTACATCGTCATCTTCATCTACTGCCTTTAAAACTCCCACTACTGTTCCAATGGGAGAATTCTCTAGGACAGATGATGAAGACAGAGATAAAGTAACTGGCTCATTTAAATCCAAGACACTTATTACAAATGTCTTTTCACTGCTTGCTGCAGGAACTCCTCGGTCTGTACATTTGACTTTAATTTGGTGGATTTTTGCTGCTTCGTGGTTTAACTTTTGAGCAACTATTAACTTTGGACCTGATAAAGAGAATTTTCCATTGCTAGAGTCTAGTAAAGTCCAAATAAAATCTGAAGATGGTGAAGAACCAGGAGCATTATCACCATCTACTGCACTAAGAACGCCAACAGTAGTGTTCAGTGTTGCATTTTCTGCGATCTTTTGGTTTGACAGAGTTATATTCAAAGGTGGATCATTCACATCTTGTATTGTAATTGTAAAGATTTTTTCCTTCCACATTTGTGGTGACCCATTATCTGTAGACCGTATGGTCACATTAATGGTACCATCAACAAGAGGGATAGATCCATGAAGGTCAGGATCTTTCCAAGTACTCTTAAGACTTTGTCCTTGACATGTAAACAGCATAGAGGGAGATAAAACATCGTAAGTAAAGCTCTGCCCAGATTGGTAATCTTGAGTTGATAAGGAACCAATGACTGTACCACTTGAGGAATGCTCTTGAAGTGTGGCTGCACTTAATGCTATGTCATGAGGTGGATCGTTGCTTCTTCGGCAATAATAAGATCCTAAATCTTGTGCAAGATCCCATTGAACACCACTCCCTCTTTGTCTCAATGCACACTTTACAGTAGATTTCACAGATGAAAAGTCTACATTGGTATAGTTTTCACCAAATGCTTTACCAGGTTGGGAGGTGATTTTGGCAAGGCTGTAGCTGCTTGAACATGAGAGTGTACAATATTGTAAATATGTGGTCCCTGAAGGACATGTAGATTGTACTTTCTCACAAACATTAGAAAACTCATCTTGGTATGAATTTGATGGGCATGAAGGTAGACTAAATGCACCGCAGTCCAAGGGGGTGCATGCATGTTTCCCAGAGAGACTGTATCCAGCATCACAGCTGCATGTGTAGGAGCCTTGTGAGTTAGTACATACTTGATCGCAGGGACCTCTGCCATTGTTAGATGCACATTCATTGGTATCTGCGCATTGTTTTGCTGAAAAAAATCGTATAATTATTACTTAATAATAGTCACACAGATATTCTTTCTTTGTTTTGTGCTTGGTATCCCTGTGGTAAATGAGCTGAGGAACAACCTAAGGGTTAATCTGCTCACCACAGGTAGTCCACCAAAACAAAACCAATCAATAATGCCCCATATAAAGCATAGAGAGAGACAGTAATATAGTTAGATAAGTACCTGTAGCTAGATAATATCCTGAAGAACAATAGCAGTTTCCATTTGATGGATTACAATTACTTCCAGGACCAGAGCAGCCATTCTTGTAGGACCCACAAGATCTTGTTTCTTGGAGGTCATATGGACAACTACCACCCCAACTTTCTGTTACAGTCTTATATCTTGTCCGAGATTGCGTTCCAGTGTCGCAAAAGTTTGAACATTGAGACCATGATTCCCAAGCTATGATTATTACAAAAAACAGAGTAGAGAAATACAGTATCAACAAATGATGCAATTCTTCTTTCTCATGGGTTATGTTCGACATCAAAAACGATGGCCTTAAAAGGGGGGGGGGGGGGGGGGGGGGGGGGGGGATACGCATGGCTGAACAATGTACCACAGGTAGCCCAGCAGTGAACCTTTCAAAAATCTGGTGGGGGGAGGGGCCCTAGCCCTCTGTCGGTGCCACCCCTGATGTCATTGCCATGTAATATATGTATATATTTGAATACTGTATTGCTAGATGGTTCTCTCCTGTGCTTTGGGCTTTTTAGGGTTCTTCTGCATGTACCGCAAACCAATTTATTCTATGTTAGCTTTGTTCTATTGTACAGTATAACTTGGGGTCTGATTTCTATCAAATTACATTGACTGTGTCTTACAGTATATCTGCAGAAAGAGCAGGATTTTCTCTCTGTAATCTAGTTTTCTTCCCTCGACAAAAAAATTCCAACTGAATTATATGCAACAAGGACCACAGCTTTGTTAGCTATTAAGTTCTATCCTCGTAAGACAATCATTTTTATCTGGTAAGAAGTCTCAAGTCTCTATTAGTACTAACTGTTCATCAATGCCAAAAACCTACAGATATTTTATAATTTCCATTC